ATGCAATCTTGCCTGGCTGTAGGGGGTGGACAATGAAAAAAGTTGATGCAATCTTATCTAACTTTCAAAAAAATATCAAGTTGCGTTTTCTTTTTCGTTTCAAATACTTTGATTTGATTTCATGGCCGAAATGGATTTCATTATCTATATTAAAGATCATGGAGATGTTGAAAACATTAATGTCAAATTGAACACCTAACCAATGGCGACAATAAAGTCGCAGGTCGATATCAAAGTTATCCTAATCTTCTTCCTAAGTAGTTACATGTAGACATGTCATATTAATTTGTGTTCTTTATTTTTTTCGTAGCTTCTGCAGTTTTAAGTTTGGAGATTTACTCGACTGTCTATGTAAACTTAGTTCTCAAGATTTTTGAGGGTTTTACGAGATTTCAAATGGTGAAAAATTAGATTGTAACAAAAATTAATTTTGTACAATTTTACAATTTTTTAATAGATGGTAGAAGTATAGTTTTGTTACTTGATTGAAGTTGGGCCCATGAATGAACAAGTTGCTTAGATTTCAAGTGATCCATACTGAAAGGTATAACTCACTCTATGAAATTAAATAAAAAGAAAACATAGTTTTATGTAATATGTCCACCGTTTTCAAACTTTACTTTTACATATCATATATATTTTCTGTATGAACGGGGTCCATTTCGTATTTGGAATATATTGATTTGGGATTTACAGAATGTAATAAAAGGAAACATGTAAGATAAGGTTTTAGAGGTCATTTGTTCGCAATTGATGTCTACCAAGCAGTCCATCGTTAAAGGGATTATAAATTCAACAAAAAAACCTAACTAATTTGAACATCTAAATCAGGCCATAGTAATTTCATCATCTAACTAACTAATGCTCAGTGTATTTTCAACGTGACATATTTTGAGAAATAGTAATCAAAGTCAAGGAAAAAGACTTGTTTATGTAAATTTAAAAAAAAAAAAAAACAGATGGCAAAAAATCCTGGAGTCATTTCTATACAGAGCAACTACCGACTGAAGAACATGATCATCGTCTAGTGACACCACTGCTAGTGTTATTGAAGTTGTTAGTACTTATTATCATCCATTATATAATTATGGCTATAATTATTATTATCATCATTGCATTATTTGAAACTAAAATATAAATTGATTGAGTAGGTATGATTCTTTTCTATTCGTATACATATGTGTATAATAAACTAAAAAAAATATTAGCTTTACATATTGTTAACTATGTAAGAAAATCCATGCTACTTAAGAGAGTTATCAGAGTGCTTAGTTATGGTATAGCTATAATAATACAGGAAATTTACAAAACCATATTTTCTCCTCCACGATCTAATTTTGGTATATATGTTATGATTAACGACTAGTATTACATGTTTTTGAAAGTCTATTCATTAATCAAGTTAGTTTTATCCAATTATGATTACGAACAAGTTTCAATACTGCCTATCATCTTTTATATATGTAGTAGGAATGTTTGTTGGTTTTTGAAATGTAACCAATACAATAATTGACCGTAGTTATGTCTTCATCGATCATTACCTCACCTGCTCTAACTAAATAATAAGCAATGTCTAAAAAGCCACATGCCGTGTACAACGACATAGTCTACCTTATGTATAAGAGTTAGGTCAAAAAGTAATATGTATTAAATAGTGAAAGATCATGTTGAGGACATTATATCCAATCGTTTCTTTATGAAGAATACAAATACAAAACGAAAGTAATATCCGACAAGTTATGATTCTAGTGGTTAACGTATATAAGGAGGAATCATAAAGAAGTAGTATCATGCAAAACTGACAATATACAGTGGTAAATGATCATTTGATAAATATATAAATTTATATTCATACTGCAAATCATCATAAAATCAGTATGTGTTATGTTGTATATAAATAAGTAAATTAATGTCGCCAAAAAAAAGTAACGTGTTCTAACTTTCAAGTATAGTACAGTACTCGTAGTCCTTTCTTCTACATATAACATATATAAATAGACATATATATGTATATATCATAGTTTTGATGAAATAATAATAATGTGCATTTCATAAAAAAATATATGGAAAAAAAAAAAAGAAACATTTGGATTATATGCTCGAGACATTGTGGTAACGTAGTCGAGACGTAATTAACCTAATTTGATTTATTTTTCCCCCACAAATTGCTTACACGTAGCCATGCAACTTTAATTTGTTTTTGATTCAGCCAATCTTTAATTTATTTTGAATATATATGTTCCCAAATGCCAAAAGCCTAGCTATCGATTATTAAATACACTGATCGTGGCAAATTAGCAACTAATGTTAAAGTAGTTGTACAAATATAACATAATGAAATAGTACTATCAACATAAAGTTTTATCTAAAATGAAAAGCATAAACCAATAAAATAGCTTCACAATCATTATCTTTGTCAATTTAATTCATTTAGCAAATAGAGTGTAGACACCTTTTTCACTTGTGAGTGATGCGTGTGTCCTATGCAAAGTTAACACATTAATCTAAAGATTTATTCTTAGTCTCTACTCGTAAAAAGAAAAAATTTGGAGGACTCTATAAATGTAATATATTTTGTGAGAAAAATAAACGTAATATTTTTGGAGGATCCTATAACGAAATTTGCATGCAACAACACAAAGTTTATAGTTTACAATTTTATTTAGTTTGGATCAGTTTTCTGACAATGGGTTTGGAGATATATATTACAAACCCTTGTTATAATTTTTTTCTGAATCAAACAATAGAATTATGTGTAAACTCGATTCTCCTTTTCTTTTCATTGTTTTCCATTTTGGGTGATATATATATATTTTTATTTATTTATTTATTTATTTTTAAATAATGATACTTTTTATATTTTTTGTGTCACGAGATACCTTTTATAAATTAGATGGGGTTCTCCAAAAGGAGTTACATCATAAGAGAGATTTGAACTTAAGAAGAACAGCCACAGACAGTAAATATTAAAGAGAATGCATTGGATGTTGATGTGGAACTCGATGGCTTAGTTTAAAGAGGATGCATTTTGGGTGATATATGGTCTAGACACATGCATTGGATGATGATATGTGGAACTCGATGGCTTAGTTTATGTATATCTTTTATAAAAATAATACATATATTTTAAAAAGTTTTCCTCTAATATATACATTTTTGTTGGAAACTATAACGAAATTACTTTCAAACCAGAGTTTACAATCCATCTATTTTTGAATATTAGCAACGACACAAAGCAAAACGCGTTTTATCTAAACTCGATCTATATCATATATGCATTTGATGATATCATCATCACTCATCCATAAAACTTAGATATACTTGATTATAAATGTAATTATATATTCTTTTTGAGTATACAATGTCTGTCACACAAATAAAAACAACTGTAAACCATCAAGATTCACGGACTCGAACAGAGAAGGCAAGCAACTTGCACTTTGAAGCTCGACAAAATTTACCATTTGATTGATAATACGCCACCGTCACGGGTCACTACCAAACACTTTCGCTTATTGGGATATATGATTCTTTTATTGCTTTTCTTTTTCTCCTTTAAGACAAAAAAAAATATTTTTCCCACCGTAAATACCATTACTTAATTTTTAAAGAAAAGAATCTGCATAGTTTATTTTTTATTATCTGCTTAGTTGATTAATGGTAGATGTTTGGGCATTTCAATCTAGTTTTTAAGTGTGCGTGCACAATTTCCTATTAAGAGAGTTAGAACTCACTATCAATATAATTTAAATATATACTCCCTTAATTTCATTTTAGTTATCATTTTAGATTTCTAAATGAAGATTAAAAAGGTTAATTTTGTATATTTTTCTAAATAAAAATATTTTTATCTATATATTTATTCATCTACCCACATTAAAACCAATAAAAATAATAAAAAAATTAGATAAAATTAATAAATTATGTATTAAAATGATAGCTCTAGAATGATAGCTCTGGAAATCATCAGTTAATGAGGCTGTGAAATTTTGATAGAGTTGAGTATGCGTTGCATTCAAAGTTGGAGACACTACGGTGGGCAATGGAGAATATGTTTCAACATTCGCAATGTCAAAGCTTTGGAACTGATTGCAAGGAACTGGTCGCAATGCTTAGGAACCCCAGGGATGGCCTAGCTTCTCTACGGAATTGGAAAAACTCTCGACACTGCGATTTATTTCCCGGAGTTTCAAGATTTTTTACGTCCTAGGTTATAGAACAAACTTTCTAATTCGTTAGCTAAGACAGCTAGATCATTTTATCGTAAGCTCAGGTATGTTGGTTGTTCTATTCCGATATGGTTACCCAAATTACTGTAAGTTTGAATAATAGATTAGCCTTTCGTTATAAAAAAAATAATAATAAAATGAAAAGAAAATTATTCAGAAATGAATTGTTTTTTCATAATGACAACTAAATTGAAATGGAATGAATATATGACACACAAAAAAAAAGAATTACTTTAGAATTGTGACGGTATCAGCCAAAGTAATACAAAGTACTTGGAAATATGTATCAATAGAAACCAGCCAGCCAATTCACGGGTTAAAACAAACTTGTACTTTGAGACAAAACAGAGAAAAATACAAAATCTTGTACGTTGAATATTCTATGTGCTTATGTTTGTATAAAGCTAAAGGTTAAACTCAAGTATAAATCCACTCGCATGCTAGATTCGTTATTTTGAAAACAACATTTTAAGTAAAAAGATGAAAAATAGAGGTATACATCGTAACACTTATCCAGTATCAAACATTATAGACCGTATGGTCCGTATCATTATTTCTTTCCTTGAAGACCACATCATCTTTTTCACATAATCTCTATTATATAAAATGGAAAATATTCAATTATATAATAGTAATAAACTAATAATACAACCTTAAATTATTTATAGAAACCACCGATTCTTGAGTGAACTTACTAGCTAGCTAGTATATAAATACCATCACTAAACCAAACGAAAAATGATATCACAAGAATCAAAACTCTTTAACACAATGGGAAACAGAGCACCGTCCTCTGTATCCTCTCTGTTTCTCATCTTCCTCTGTTTACTAGATTCTCTAAACGCTCAATCCACGCCTATTTTCGCCTGCGACGTCGCCGGAAACCCATCTCTCGCCGCTTATGGGTTCTGCAACACCGCCATAAAGATCGAGTACCGAGTCGCTGATCTTGTCGCGAGGCTCACGTTGCAAGAAAAGATCGGGGTTTTAACGAGTAAACTTCACGGCGTGCCACGGCTTGGGATACCGACGTATGAATGGTGGTCCGAAGCACTTCACGGCGTTTCTTACACCGGACCTGGCACGCATTTCTCTGGACAAGTTCCAGGCGCTACGAGTTTTCCTCAGGTTATACTCACCGCAGCTTCTTTCAACGTATCTCTGTTTCAAGCCATTGGCAAGGTATCCACCTAAACTTTATCCATTTTCGACTTCTTTTTTATTTTATTTTACTATTTTTATTTCTAATTTTGGATAAATTATCGGATTTTAATATTACATTTAATTTTTCTATTTTTGGTGTTATGTCAGATATTATTTAATTTAATATTAATTTTATAAATAGTGACCCCATTAATAAATATTTTAACTAAATATATACTCTCTCCGTTTCGTATTAGTTGTCATTCTAGAGTTTATTTTTTGTTTCATTTTAAATGTCATTTTATGTTTCCAAATCATTTTTTGTTAGTTTTTCCAAATTTATCCTTATTCTTTCAGTTCATTAATTAAAATAATCAGAGAAACTAATGTATTAAATATAGGTAAAACAATAAATTTAATGATTCTTACCAAAAAAAACAATAAATTTAATGATTTTTTTATTATATGTGAAAAATCTAGAATGACATATAAATTGAAAATGCTTTTTAAAAAATATATTTATGACCCTAAAAATACCTTTTTAAAAATATCTTGGGGTCATGTGACCCTACTAACCTCATCTTGCTAAGGTATCAGTGCAACTAGGCCTCTTCTCTTTCTTTTGATACAAGTTAACACTTCTCAACACGTTTGTTCTCAGACACAATTAGTCTTAGTTAAACCAAATTACACGTAAAAGAAAAAATTAATTCATGAGTTAAGAACCCCACTCTAAAAATCCTCCAATAAACATGTTCTTACTCATTTTTTTAAGGTTGTATCGACCGAAGCAAGGGCAATGTACAACGTTGGATTAGCCGGACTAACGTATTGGTCACCGAACGTTAACATATTCCGAGATCCCAGATGGGGAAGAGGACAAGAGACTCCCGGAGAAGATCCACTGCTTTCTAGCAAGTATGCTACAGGGTACGTTAAGGGTCTTCAAGAGACTGATAGCAGCGATGCTAACCGCCTCAAAGTAGCTGCGTGCTGCAAACACTACACCGCTTACGACGTTGATAATTGGAAAGGCGTAGAACGTTACAGTTTCAACGCCGTGGTAAGAACTCCAAAACCGTTATATTCTAATATTGGTTGGGGTGAACGGCTTGTAGCTGCAAGTACGGTCCCGGGTTTGATTCGTAAGTCATGGTATGATTTAGGCCTGTTTGCACGGGTATAGACTGGTACCGGACCTAGAGGATTAAGGCTGAAAGCCCGAACCCATCCTAGCAAATAAAATAAAATAAAAAACATTTTTTAGTGTTTGTAATAACTTTTTGTGTGTTTGTTGGAGTAGGTGAATCAACAAGATATGGATGATACGTATCAACCACCGTTCAAGAGTTGTGTAGTTGATGGGAATGTGGCGAGTGTTATGTGTTCTTACAATCAAGTTAACGGTAAACCGACATGTGCTGATCCAGATCTCCTCTCTGGTGTTATCCGCAGTGAATGGAAGTTAAATGGGTAATTATCTGATCTAGTGAAAGGAGTTAATTAGACCCTTTTGCATGTAATTTGAGAAAGTGTTTTTGTTCTTTTTAAATAGGTACATTGTTTCGGATTGTGACTCGGTAGATGTGATATATAAGAACCAACACTATACCAAGACACCAGAGGAAGCTGCAGCTATATCTATCAACGCAGGCTTAGACTTGAACTGTGGTTACTTCTTGGGTGATCATACAGAGGCAGCGGTTAAAGCCGGTTTAGTACACGAGGCAGCTATCGACAAAGCGATTTCGAACAACTTTTTGACCCTTATGCGTTTAGGATTCTTCGACGGAGATCCAAAGAAACAGATGTACGGCGGTTTAGGTCCTAAAGACGTCTGCACACCCGCGAATCAAGAGCTAGCCGCGGAAGCAGCGAGACAAGGCATTGTACTACTAAAAAACACCGGTTCTTGCTTACCGCTTTCTCCTAAAGCGATCAAAACGCTAGCCGTGATTGGGCCAAACGCGAATGTCACGAAAACAATGATAGGTAACTACGAAGGCACTCCGTGTAAGTACACAACACCGCTTCAGGGATTAGCCGGGACGGTATCAACAACGTATCTACCAGGCTGCTCTAATGTAGCTTGTGCGGTGGCGGATGTAGCTGGAGCCACGAAGCTAGCATCTGCTGCTGACGCGACGGTGCTTGTTATAGGTGCGGATCAATCTATAGAGGCAGAGAGCCGTGACAGAGTTGATTTAAATCTTCCGGGAAAACAACAAGAGCTCGTGACACAAGTGGCTAAAGCAGCGAAAGGACCGGTCGTTCTAGTTATCATGTCTGGTGGAGGTTTTGATATTACGTTCGCTAAGAACGATGCGAAGATCGTTGGAATCTTGTGGGTTGGTTATCCCGGAGAAGCTGGTGGTGTTGCTATCGCTGACGTCATCTTTGGTCGTTATAACCCAAGTAAGAATGACTCTGTTTTAAAAACTTTAAACTAGTGATAACCGGTGAATTCTGTTTTTTAAACCACGGATAACTAGTTATAGTTAGGGGTGAGCACGGATCGAATAACTGAATTTTAGAGATATTCATGATTCGATCTGTTTCGTCCGAATAATTAATTATCCAATTTAATTTGATCCGTAGTCATTCGGATATTCGCATTCTGGATATCCGGAAGAATTTTAGACTTTTAATAGGATATCTGATTCGATCCGTACAAATAAAATAATAATTTTTAAAATAAATAAATAATCCATAAATAAGAAAAAAAATAATAATTATTACAAAAATATAATTTTATTTAAAAATTTAAAGATCTAATAACTAATATAAGATTATATAACTTATATATAATTCTTTAAATATATGTGTGTATATATATACATATAACGGATCGGATCGGATATACTTTCATAAAACATTTTCATAAAACATTAGTACTTGTGGTTTTTCTGTTTCTTATTGATACTACATTTGATTCGGTTTGTAGAATTACAGAAATCTGAATTTTTCGGTTTGAATCACAATGGATAACAAATCTAACTAAATTTTATTTTCCCCAGCTTAGTTATAACCTAAGTAAGAAAGACTGTTTTTAAAACTTAAACCAGTGATAACCGAAGAATTCTGTTTTTTTAAACCGGTGATAACCGATTAACTCTGTTTTGATAGGTGGAAGATTACCGATGACGTGGTATCCACAATCATACGTGGAGAAAGTCCCAATGACGAATATGAACATGAGACCCGATAAATCAAACGGGTATCCGGGTCGTACTTACAGATTCTACACCGGAGAGACGGTTTACACTTTTGGAGATGGACTCAGCTACACCAAGTTCAGCCACAGCTTAGTCAAAGCTCCTCCACAGCTAGTTTCTCTCAGTCTCGAAGAGAATCACGTTTGCCGTTCATCCGAATGTCAATCTTTGGACGCGTTCGGACCGCATTGTGAAAACGCTGTTTCCGGTGGAGGAGGTGGAATGGCGTTTGAGGTTCATATTAAGGTAAAGAACGGTGGAGATAGAGAAGGAATTCACACGGTGTTTCTATTCACGACGCCTCCGGCGGTTCACGGTTCGCCGAGGAAGCATCTTTTGGGGTTTGAGAAGATTCGGTTGGGGAGGATGGAAGAAGGGGTGGTTAAGTTTAAGGTTGATGTGTGTAAGGATTTGAGCGTTGTTGATGAAGTTGGGAAGAGGAAGATTGGTTTGGGTCAGCATCTTCTTCATGTGGGGGACATGAAACATTCTTTGAGCATTAGAATCTGATTCCAAATGGATTCTAAATTTTATTTTTGAATTAAAATGAAAAATTGTAAACATGCTTATTGCTTAAGCTTATGCAAGTTACAGAAAATGAATAAAAAGTAATTGTGAATCTGTTATTTTCAATTTGTTTTTTTAAATAAGCGTAGATTAAATTTTAGCAGATTTTTGTATAGTTCAGTTAATTATTAATTTTTGTTGTTATTCGGTGATAATCTATGTTACATAGAAATATAAGTGAGTGCGAAAAAAGAAGAGTATAAAAACGTAAAAACAAGTTTTTAAATAAATTAGGAAGCGAAAACGTGTTGGAAATGTATATCAAAATATACATATAAGATAGTTTAATAAAAGTTATAACTACCTATTATATGATTCTAATTAAAAAAAAATCATTTATTCATTTGGAATAATTTAAAATGGTTTCATATTGTAACTGTGAAAGTACAAATAATTAAGTTTATAAAAATGTTATTAAACTAATTAATTTTTAATATGTTATAAATAATTACACAATATATTAAATATATATGATATCTCTAATAAAAATACAGTCTATAAAAATATTTAATAGTATCAGTTTTGTTCTTTCTATTCTTTTCATTTCAATATTATATTTTTAGATTTTATATAAACATTATTCATATTTGTTTATAATATTATACTTTTAAAAATAGAAATAATGATACGGAATCGTAAGCTTCCAACATATTGTTATCTTCCATAATGTTCTGATGAGGATGATAGTTATCTTTTTTATTATGTGGTATCATCCCAAAGATCCGAATATTTGGTTTAGATACTACTAAATCACCTGAGTTGCATAGACCAACCGGAAAATATAAAAACATCATTACCGGTTCAATTCGGTTATCTCCGGTTTGATTTAAAAACACTTTAACCTCTTTTAACAGACCAGAGAGTCACGTTTCCATTTTTTTTTGTCTGAAACTGTTAAAGAAAACTTCCGGGCAGCAAAACAAAACAAAAAAGATCGGTAGGAAAAAGATCTGCGAATATCTTTTTTAATGAAAAAGGAGCAGCAGAGAGGAGGACGGTTCTTCTTCCCCTTTCCGAATCTTCAGACGGCGACGGTGAGGAACTGCTTTCAGACATGGCGTATAACAACGGAAACGTCGTCGTTGCTGCTGCGGCTGCGGCGGATCCTTTAGCGGGGAAGAAGACGAAGCTTCTTCAATCGTCTCGTAGTTGGATTAGCATAGACGCCACGGGAGAGAGCGAGGCGCTTGATGTTGATAAGTATGCTATCATGCACCGTGTTCAGATCCACGCTCGTGATCTCAGGATTCTTGATCCGAATCTGTCTTATCCTTCAACTATTCTTGGCCGAGAGAGAGCCATTGTGTTGAATTTGGAGGTAAAGGATTGTTTAGTTTCATCTAATTTTGTTTCAGACTTTTGATTTTTTTTTTTTTGTGTGTTGGATGTTGCAGCATATCAAGGCGATTATTACTTCTGATGAGGTTAGTTTTCTCTTTTACAGTTACTTAGATTTTTAGGGCTTTTGGAGTAGTTTTGATTTGTTTTGGTAGGTTCATGTTGGACCTTGAGTAATCACTTAGCTTGACCTAATCTAGATAGGCCAGCCATTGAGATTTTGGGGGTTGTAGGCAATTTAGTGAAAGTTTTAATAATAAATTTCAAAACAAATTTGGGAACTAAAAGAGCATGATTAATGGAGGTTCTTAGGGTGGGGTTCTTAGCGGAATATAAAAAAACCCGTCACTTAGGGTGAGCATAAATTTTTTTTAGTTAAAAGTTAACAGACAGTTTCTTATATTCTGTTAAGAACCCACTCTAAGAACCCCGGTTAATCATGCTCTAATGTCTATGTAATTTTCTTCAAAATTTTGGGGGTTATAAGCCCCCTTGGCTATGCCCAGGACCGGCCTGGTGGATAGGGTACTAGTGTTTAAAAGATTCACATTTGTGTCTATGTTGTTGGCACTATGAATTTTGTTAATAGAGTTAGGGTTTAGCATTCCTTAAATCAGGTTTCTTTTTTTTTTTTAAATGATTGTGAATGAAGATAAATCTTATCTGATTTTGTGTTAATAACTTGATTTTATGACAGGTTTTGCTTAGGGATCCATCAGATGAGAATGTTATTCCGGTTCTGAAGGAGCTTGAAAGACGCTTACCTGTTGGAAACGAATCACAACATGGTCAAGGAGATGGAAAAGAGAGCTCAGCTGCTAATAATGACGCTGATGCTGGTGAAGAAGATGGTACTTTCTCCAGACTCTTTAGTTTCTCAAAGCACTTGTAATCTTTTTCTTTTTTTTTTTGGTTTATTGAAATGTCTACTTGTTGTTGCATTATAGATTCCCCGTTTGAGTTTCGGGCGCTTGAGGTTTTCTTGGAAGCAATTTGTAGCTTCTTGGCTGCAAGGACAACAGAGTTAGAAACAGCTGCTTATCCTGCTTTGGATGAACTTACCTCAAAGGTATGTTCCTCACCGTCTATTATCACCAGTGATGATCCAATTTTCAACAGTGTTTTCTTACATTAATATTGTAGATTAGTAGCCGTAACTTGGATAGAGTTCGGAAGTTGAAGAGTGCCATGACTCGGTTGACAGCTCGAGTTCAAAAGGTGAAGCAGTGTTAAATCTCTTAAAGTTTGTAATAGAAAGAAACAATTAAGAAACTTCATGGTCTTTTATAGGTAAGAGATGAGCTTGAACAGTTGCTGGATGATGACGATGACATGGCGGATCTTTACCTCTCAAGGAAACTCTCTAGTGCTTCCTCTGCGTCTAGTAGTCCAAATTGCTATCTTACTTCGCCGACAATAGGTTCCAAGATTTCAAGAGCTAGTAGAGCGAGTCTAGCCACTGTTCGTGGGGATGAAAATGATGTTGAAGAACTTGAAATGTTGCTCGAGGTTGGTTCTTACTGCTTGAAAGGATCTTCTGTTCACATGTGAAGTCTAATGTTTCGATGTCTTTTACAGGCATACTTCATGCAAATCGACAGCACTTTGAACAGATTGACAACAGTTATGTAACTATGTTCTTGCTTCTTCTATTTTTTTTTTAATTCTTAAAAACTGTTCTTCTAACTCTCAGTTTTTTTTTCTTGATGCAGCTACGTGAGTACATCGATGACACAGAGGATTACATTAATATCCAGGTAACCTAATCTTTGTTTTTGAAATCTGAATATTCATAATATACCAATAATCATTACTTTTTTGTTTTTGCAGCTAGACAATCATCGTAATCAGCTGATTCAGGTAAGTGAATGTTGAAAGCTTTTGATCATCTTCATGAGCTTATCTTCTTGATCATCTTCAAACTCATGCAGCTGGAGCTTGTGTTAAGCTCTGGAACCGTTTGCTCAGCATGTTACTCTCTTGTCGCTGGAATCTTCGGGATGAACATTCCATACACATGGAATGATAACCATGGATACATGTTCAAATGGGTATGTATAACCAAAATCTCCATTTGCTTAACATAAAAGTAATAATTAATAAAAATCTCAGGCTTAACCTAATATCTCGTTGCAGGTTGTGATCCTGACGGGGGCATTTTGTGTAATCTTATTCACGTTCATAATGTCACACGCTCGGTACAAAGGCCTTGTGGGATCTTGATTGGTGTTTGGGTACAGAGAGAGAGAGGTCTTATGGTTAGAGGTAGTTTAAAGAGACTCATAATTGTAAAGATGTGCTTTATTACTCTTACCACACATCGATTCCTTACAATTGAAGCATATCAAACAATGTTATTTTATATAAATGCCAACAATCTTTTGGTGCATGTTAGCATCTTACCAAACAATACAACTAAGAATTTAAAGGCTAGAGAAGTTAAAAATATGCATCTAACTTTGAAGAAACAGAACATTCCACTCCTACACTTTTTTTTAAACGATGATTTATTATTATGATATTATAATTATAGAAAAATTACATAAACGATTCGACAACTGATACTATCTGTCTTATGAAGATCTATGTCTAACTGTATCATCTGAGCCGTTCCGAAGATCCATTCTTGACCATTACTTGCACCATATTAAATATCTCATTTCCTATAATCTGCAAGAAATTGTATAGTATGGGATTCAAATCCTAGATCTGGATGTAAAAACTTTAAAGACTTAACCAGTTGATTACGGTGCTTCCACAAACTCCCAAACCACTTTTCTTTTGAGTTTTTGAGCTTCCACAAAAAGAGTTTGGGTTGAATTTGGGCTAGACTTGGCCGGACTTCAAGACGTTGTTGCCTTTGAAGGATGGTTTGGTTATGTTGGTTCCATTTTAGTCTCTTCATGGTTTAGTAAGTTTCTGTTTTTCATGGGAACAGAACACTCCACTCTCATACAACTTGTGTGTCTGAGTTTAGGTTCTCTTCTCTTTGAAGAGTTTTGGGAAAGAAGGTAGGAGGACTTGGGCTGGACGTGGGCCTATTGTTATTTATTTTCAATAAAATCAAATTCTGTAAAATCCATCAAGGATCTTAGTGGTTTCACTTTGGTAACTAAACTTTATGAAATTAAAAAAAT